CGCTTCAATGAGATCCGAAGTACGTGGGAGTCCGACTTAGGAAGAGAGCTCAAGCCTGAGAGCCTGGTGGATGAAATGCTGTCATCAAAGGCAGCCTGGGAGGCAACGTGTAATTTTGCGGCCGAAGTCATGAACGCTGGATATTTGCTGTGATGTAGCAAATGTCCAACGCTAGGTACGAAGAATCTCCTAAAGGGACGCGTCAAGGTAATAGCCGTTAACGCGTAATTTGGTTCAGATTGAACCGACAACAGAATAAAACAACAGAAAAAAAGGAAACGGAGTAAAATGGCGGTAATTAGCCCAGATAAGATCCACTAACTATCATTACTGCTTCGGGGCTGCATTCGCAAAGATTACGGGGGCAGAGACGCAAGATGCATCAGAACTATAATTCAATAGAACATCTAATGCACCATAAGATGAAACTTGATTTCCTAAAACGTATTGTAACATTGGCAATTCACACAGTTGCAACTGTCTCGATTTGCCGTGTGACCTTCCACCGAAACCAAAAACCGAAACTTTCTCATTCCAATAAATCTATACACTGAGCGCCAGCATTGCAGATGGGCCTCCACATTTCCCTGAAGATTAAATGCAAGGGAGGATTCGCATCAATAATCGCGTAGCTCAATAATACTTTGGCCCAAACAACGAATATCTCCAGGTCTCCAATAGTTAACTTCATCAAAACTCCAGACACATATCACGTTAATTCCATCCCGAATAACAATGAATTTTCATCAACAGAACCTTAACATGAACGATCACCGGACGGTCACTAACACGATAATTTTTCCTGACCAAAAATTATTAAAAATACAAGGCTCTGTATCTTTGTCTGTCTCACGCTTAATCCAAATTTCTCGATGGTCTATGGATTGCCTAAGGAATTCCCAGAATCCCATACAGTCCGCATGTGTATCCCACTATATGGAATCGAACTTTAATTCTCAATTTTGGAAGGAAACTTCAAAGATCAGATTATATTAGGTGAATAACTTAATCTTTCCATTTTTCCATAAAAAAATATGTAACATTATAAAATATATAAATACTAGATCAATCCTCGAAATATCGTTCATCGTTTTCGATGACCTTGCCCCATCGATCGGGCAACATACGAATGCCATCGCGAAAAAAACTTGCAGGCTTTGAGGCGATGGAGTCATCAACGAATTTTCGTATATCGTCCAGAGTTTGGAAGGGCCTTTTCTCCAAGGCGTGGACCGAAACAGATGGTAATCGGAAGGGGCCAAGTGCGGTGAGTAAGCCGCGTGCAGGACAACCCAAAATCGTTTCTGTATCGCGCGAGCAACATGAGGTCGAGCGTTATCATGGAGCAACATGACTTTCCGGCTCCCTTGCCCAGTAAATGGCCTCTTCTTATCAAGTACCGTGCTCAATTAGTTCAAATGTCGACTGTAGCGTTCTGCAGTAACTGTCTGACCCGTTTCCAAAAGTTCGTAATAGAGTATACCCTTCAGATCCCACCAGATGCAGGGGAGAACCTTCTTCATGTGAAGTTTTTATTGGGGAGTGAATGTCGCCGGTTATCCGGGATCCTCCCATGAGTTTTTCCATTTGGGATTACCAAAAAAAAAATTTTTCATCTCGTCCCAATTTTTGACAAAATTTTTTTCTTCTGGCACTTGGTGAGCAACGAAAGGCACGTGTTCATGCGTTGGCCGCGGCTATTGTAATCGTTTAGAGACGGCTGCTTGAGTAACTCTTAGTTGAGCTGCAAGGTCTTTTTGAGTTTGCGTTGAGTCTTTGTCGAGTAATTCTTGCAATTCAGCATCTTCAAATTTCAGAGGCTGTCCAGGGCGTTCCCGGTCACTGACATCAAAATCATCATTTTTAAAGCGTTTATACCAATATCTAGACGTATCATAAGACACAATATTACTTCCGAGAGTAGAAGAAATCGTATCGTGGGCTTCAATGGCTTTTTTCCCTTGTTGGAACTTGTAGAGAATACAGTGTCGAATGTGCTGCGTATGGGTCGCCATCGCATATACTACTGTGTTATGAAGTAATACAGCTCTTCCAGGTATGACATATACCGTATCAAAAATTGTAAAGTTCACTCTTCAAAATGGCAAATGGGTGCGTAAATATTTACATTCTAAATAAGATACCGCACTCAATGAGAAAAAAGGGAAAGGTTAAGTTATACACGTAATAATTATCGACCAATATGTAGAGTACATATGATGAAATACGAATGTGAAGATATAGATAAAAATAGTAATATTAGGCTGAGCATTAGCAAAAGATGCCAATCCAATTTTTAAAACGTGTATAGGATGTATTCGGAAGCCTAGTACCAACGGAATTGGTAGAAACAAAAATGGAAGAATAATATACGTGGAGTGTACGGACGCTGAACTTTTTTTTTTTTTTTTTACGGCCTCGGAGTCCCTTTTTCGGGTCCCATTCGGCACTCTATCCAACCCTATGCATGCGGCTGTGGATTCTACACTGTACTGCATTCGCACTTCTATAGAACATAGAAGTAGCATGGGGAAACCACAGAAAACCCATGCCGGTACAAGCGGTTCCTCTATTAGCAACCTCCCGCTCGCCGGAGCCTTCCGTTGAAAAATTCGGTTCCACGGGGAATCGAACTCACAACCTTTCGCACACTAGACTTGCGTCTAATCCACTCGGCCACCGACGTCGGTCGGACGGACGCTGAACCTGGCAGCTAAACTAGCAGCAGAAATTCTAGGTGCGTAGGTGATGTTATGGAGTGATATAAAATTCCTGAATAATTGAAATTTATCATTAAAAAAGTGTACATCAGGACGGAAGGAGCCGGTTGAGATGTCCTGTACATCTACACAAGCACCCACCGTAACAGGTGAAGTGACTCGAAGTTTTTTTTTTTTTTTAATTATCGCTATCTGTGTAGCCTTAACACAGCTTGAGCGTAGCAATATATATTGAGAAAAGCGAGGATTTTTTGAGATATCACTGCGCTTTTTCGACTGAATCAAAAAATATTATTGTTAGCTACAAACATACCTTACTTCATCGGGCTGCGGCTGAATTGGAAAATGGGGTAAATCATAATGCAAACCCGTGAGTTAGTTTGACAGCCAAACTGCTATGAATTTGGCTTCCCAAGGCGTGGATTGGGTGTGAAGCAGCTCGCATATTTGCATTATAATTCACATGATTTTTCAGCAGTGTGAAGATCTCTGATCTATTTCAGCCGCAGCCGGATGAAGTAAGTTACATTACTCACTAAGGATTACATTTTTTGATTCACTTATAAAAGCGTGAGAATGTCTCGAAAAATCCCCGTTTTTGTTAATATATTGTAACGTGATATTTTTTTATTCGACCGTTCAACGGTAAAATTTCCATACGTTCAGACAAAAAATCACTCTGGCAGTGAAGCGAGAGTCATGATTTCAACTTTGAACCATTATATTTCTTTAGAGAAAATTTTGTTTGTATCGACTCATGTTTTCGGCGCTCACTAGACTGCATCGTGGGATGGAGCCTGGGAACTTCGTGGGATTATTTGGAAGACTAATTCCGGGCCGCGAAGTGAAAGAGCACGAGGACATGGGCTAGAGCATTTTGAATGGTCCCGCACAGGCGACCATTCACAATGCTCGAGGTCAGAGTTGATATCTCTCGAGATATTTTCATTATTTTCTTTCCGGCCTCTGAAGCTAAATTCATTGGATTTATTCGTTGGCTAGTATTCGTTTGGAAGGCAGGACTATTCCAGGCGATTGAAATTGAGATTGAGATTGTAGCATGGTGAACGCTCGAGTTTATCTTGTTACCGAGTGACCGTTTGTCGTCGATCGCCAGTAGGGTTTGTCCACATTTTCTCTCGAGGTAATCCCCCTCTCAATAGTCTGCAAAGTTTGACTCTTATTTTTGCCACTTTGGGTGGACGTGCTGTTTTCTCGGTGTAATAGTAGATTCCTGTACCGCGGTTACTTAGGACTGATTGGTGACTGTCCTAGTTATTTTGCCATTTGACTTCTTTTTGATGACTGCGGATGATTTTGACTGTTTTTGACTAATTCAATCTTGACTATTATTCTATCGTTGGACATTGGCCGTTAGGGAATTGTGTTGCAGAGAGTCTTTAATCGTTTATTCATTTTGTTATGTAGTGATGTTTATGAGTTTTACCGACAAATAAGTGGTGATTTGCTTTCAGAATAAGATGGGGTTTTCTTTGTTCATTTATCAATTTCCTTTGTCATTCAACTTTCTAGTTGGATATTATATTGAATTAATTTTATTAGCCCGCATTTCTTTTTGGAAATTTTGAATCCAGTCATTTGAAAATAATTTTCGTAGTCGCATTTTGGGACCCAGCCGCCTCTGTAGTTGAGATACTGAGCTATCGGCCGCTGTTCATTTGTAAGTGCATTTCATTCGATTTTGACTTGCAGTTTTTGTGCACTTTGGAAGAAAACATACTGGTACCCAAACTTCGTCATTGAGAGTTGGTTCTCGAGGGCTGCGTACTTTCCTACCATTTCGCAGAGGTACAAAATTAGGTCACAATATGTAGCTACACTCAAATTGATCATGTGAAGGAATAGAAATTCAGTTTACCTTCAGATTGGGTCAAACTGGAACAACATAACTGAGTATAAAAATTTTTCATTTCTTTTTTGGCTTTTGTTGGGTTGACACTAGCTGCATCCTCGTAGCAAACTCTGAGTGACGTAAAATGTAATGACACCATCCCACCCTGTTTTGCGGCCAAAAAATTTGCTAACTTCAGGACGCCGAAGGGTAACCGTCATATGAAATCTGTCGAATGGTTTCCGTCACGCTCCTTGTTTATCACTCCACTCCAGATAGAGAATATATTGCAAACGGTGCGGATTGATTACATCTTAACTGCCTAATGCCAATAAGTTCCGAGGATTTACGCGGCTTATTTGTATTTAGGGCTTGAATAATTAATAGGATTTCTCTAGAAATGTGACTTGAATCTTTCAATCACTTACGTTATCTGATCATCGTCATTCTGTTTCCGATGGAATTCTCGCCAGCAACAGTTCGGGAGTTCTGTGGCATTGTAGTACTGATTGACTATACTGGAATTTACGAATACATGGGTTTCGTTGGATTCTATTAGAGGCAGTTGACTCCCGAATTGACATTTAATTGGCTTCTCAACCTTCATGAATCGTTTGCTGAAGGAATCCAAGGGGTCGAGGGCGGCTATCCGACACCCTTTGTTGCGAACTAGGAAGCCAGATTTCTTGTCCTGAAGACTTATCATTTGGTGTTCATTGTCGATGTAATTAGCTGTAATACAGGTAAGAAAAGATAATTGACACCCTTGTGAAAATCGAGATGACATGCGATGGAATAATCACATACAAATTCCAAAAATGGGAAATATTACAACTTTTAATATAAAAAGGCAAAATTTGAAATAATAAAACAAAATTTGTCCGAATGTTATACCCCAGATTTGGTCAATTGCGTTATTGTTTAATATGTGGACATACAGCATTTTCAGCGTGACACTTGCCAGCGTAACTGGATTATGCTGACCAAGTGATGAAATGTAAACAATCAATGTATTATTTAAGAGACAGTTGGGTCTGCACAGAGGAGACCTGAATGGGACTCCGACGCGTACAAAAGTCGTCAGCTCTTTGTAATCAGTCAGATGACAGTAATTATAATCATGTTATAAATCCTCATATTTAAATGCCGATAAAGCATTGGTGGGATTTATCCCTTTAAGCCTAGAATCTACTATAATTTTGAGTACCCCCCACACTGGGTACAACACGAAATTATCAAAAAAATTTCCACATACATTGTCATAATATGTCAAAATGTAGAATGTCATAAAATGTTTGAATACGAAAACCAATATTGTCATATGTTAGAAAATGTCATGAGATTTTAAATTTTGCTAGCCCGTTAGACTGGCGCAATGAGTAAGTTCGGTGGCACACATGCTCGAGCTTCCGGGTTTGAGACTCGGGCGGGTGCGATCAAACTTACTTGAGTCCTGATCAGATTTTGCAGTATACTCAAATCTAAGATAAAGCGATGTGAAACAATGAAAAAAAAAGTTTATCGTGTCAGATTTTTAATAGTAAAGTATGATGATTCGATGTTCCGACAAGCAACCATGCTCAGAATATCATCCACGACTGGAAAAATATGACATCGTCCGTCAAATAATGACATAATAGAACATCTGTCGCCGCCCGCATGAGAAGGGCCCAATTGGTCCATATGGAGATATACAGAGTGTCCCATTTGGAACAGGACAGTTGAAAATTTCTCCAGGGAGGAGTTATACAGCGAAATATATCAGATGAAAGCTATAGGGTATGCAGCGGGAGATTCGGTGCAGATGGAAATTATGGTCCCGTTGTTTATGGAACATAATTTTAGACCCCCTGAAAGTTGTGCACTTCTTGCAGACGAATTCAACCATATCATACATTGTCATTGTTTCATGGATTTTTTATGAAATATCACACGGAAATAGATCAAAATGAAATCATCTTGGTTGAGGATTGCATAGCTCATCTGCGCGTTCGGATATTGTTTTTTTAGTGATACAGTAATTCATGAAGAAAAACAAGTGGCTTCCAACTATATGTGTAGCGTGTTGTTATTGTCCGTATTTCATCAGTTTGATAATCGTCTCGATTCAGTTTACATCATCTACCTTCTGAGTACCTGTCGTGATTGACAATTGTTTATTCACTAAGTGAATGGGTTCTTCAAGGATGTACACCAATCCTCCAATAATACCTGCAGACCTGCAATGACGCATTAGAGATACCATTATGAACATCTCAACCGAAGTTCTTCAGTCTGTTCTTGCAAACTTTCGACGTCGGCTGGATTCGTGCCTCGCTGCGAAAGGCAGCAATATCGAACATCTCTTTCAATGACTGTTATCTATACCTACACGATCACGTAAAAGCCACTCATGAAACAGAACCTGTAGGAGCGCTTAAATTATGATGTTCCCATTTTGGTCTATTTCTTATCGATATTTCATACAATATCGATGATTATTTCCCCCATCACCCTTCCGAAAACTAGAATTGCGGAATTCGAAGTCACATAGCCCAATCAGAACAGAATTATATCGATAATACCCCGTCGTTCTGTTATTTTCCCGTTGCCAAGCAGAATAACAAAAAATTGTCGAATTTACCACGATAACGCCAAATACCACAATTTTATTTATCGAAATGGTGATGGGGGAAATAATCCGCTGAATACCGCTCGAGCATCGAAATAAATCGGAGTATTTCCCTCAAACTTCCCTGCATACAAACGAATGCGTCAAGTTTCGCAGGAAAAATTCCTCGCGCAAGCGCTCGGGATTTTTTTAAACTACGAAACTTGACATATTCGTTTGTATGCAATGAAGTTATCGGGAAATACCCGATCACTTTGAAGCTCTCGGGGTATTACAACCGAAAACATTGAAGAATAGGATACCATTCGTCTCAATGAGATGCACAACTTTCAGGGGGTCAAAAATTATGTTACCATTTGGAAAAACTGACATCATGCTTGCAGCACAAAAACATAAACAACGGGAACATAAATTCCATCTGCAGCGAATGTCCCCTTCTATACCCTTTCATCTGATATATTTTGCAGAATGATTCATCCCTGGAAAAATTTTCAACTGACCTGTTTCAAAAGGGACATCCTGTATGCACTGCGATAAGATGGATAACATTTCGCAAATTTTAAGCTCCCAATAATTCTGATAGAGTGAAAAATGAGGTCGCTGAAAATGACCAAACGAAAAATTTAACCTTGGTTTAAATTTGCCTGACGGCAGCAACCTCGCGACTACCTGGGAAATTGAAATCGACACAGAGGGCCCTTTTCATATGAAGGTCTACATATGATGTCATACTTTGACAGATTTCATCGTACTGAATATGTAATAATTTGCAATGCAGAGTGTAAGTTTATTGGTGGAATACCTCCCGGCCACAGGTGCAGAACCCCCCCCCCCCCCNCGTGAATACTAGAAACATCGAAAAAAAAAATGATTTGACCAATTTTGAATAATTAACAATGAACGTTGGCCAATGGACTGAGCTGTGGCAACAACGCGTTAGAGATGTCGAAACATGAGGGAGAGAAATTGAGTGACACTGCTCTGCCGTCGATTTCATGTTCATACCCATGTAGCATCGGGAAGTGGCGCGCTCAGCCGATGAAATTTGGAATTGAATTGACTTTCTCAACGCATGTCAAACACGAATAAAAATTGCATAATCTGTTTTTCTGACCTTTCCATTGATTGTTCATGAAAAAATGGCTCGTGAAAACTTTATCCTTAATAAGATGATGTTGGCTGAAGAGGCTCTTCATCTAAAAAACTTGAACGATGCAATACACGGAGAAAATACGTGGATCAATATTACCAAACAAGTTATGTAATCGTAGAGCAACCTCGATTTCCAGTACTTTTTCACCTTGAGTAGGACAAAAAGTGCGAGATTAATAGTGAATTTTACTTCATTGGCCCAGCAAAATATACTAAATATGAGGGTGATTTATACCAGAATTGTAAAATTTACACTGCATCCCATCAAATTTAACCCCGCGAAAGTAAATAATTGCTCGATTATTTCGTACAATATTTCTGTGATGTGTTACGTCATAACGACGTACAAAAATTATTATTAATTCCAACTTTTGGAAATGATAATAATTTCGGAAATTAAAAAAAAAAATATCATATTTAAATACCAATGGAATCATACGATTCCAATGGTACATTAAACCGATCGTCTTACATCCGGTAAGACGATGGAAAAATTTATAATTTGAGATCGATCATGTGATTCATACCACACGGGTGGTATGAACCCGCGTTGCCGAGGGTCTTATCGCCCTGGTATCGGGTTGCTGTTGCGAGGCAGTCCACCTCGTAACAGTCCCACCATTGTCCAATACTTCCCTCCCCTCACCACGCTCTTCACACCGAACTACGCATCTTTATTTTTTTCCCTCTTCCCCGCGCTCCTCGCACCGCGAAACAGTTCACGCGCACTTGATCCCCTATTCCCTCTTCTCCGCGCCCCTCTTACCAAGGAACGCAACCACGCTGGCTACACCAATTTTCCCCCTCCCCTAATAAGACGCGTGTCTGCTCGATCTACGTACCCACTCTCTCTACAGAGTGCACTCAGCACTCATCCACATCTAATTCCCTACCCCCATACAATTAAAAATTCGTGTATGCATTTACATACACGAATTAATATTGACGACGCAAAAGGGCATCGCCCACGCAGTCGATCGGTCAGTCAGTCGTGTCGTGATTCCGCCCAGGAAAGGAATAAATCTAAAAGTAAACCAAAGGATAAAAGAAGCAAGAAGGAATAACAATAAGGAAGCAAGAAGGAATAACAATATAGGAGCAAAAAGGAATAACAATAAAGGAGCAAAAGGGAAAAACCTAATAAAAGGAAGATAAAATTGAAATATTATTTTGGCGAGTGTTTTTTTTTTCCCGAAAATTTACGAATTAATTTTTACGATTAAAATTTAAATTTGAAATATTATTTCGTGAGTGTTTTTCCGAAAATTTACGAATTAATTTTTGCCATTGAAACTTAAATTTGAAATATTATTTTCGTGAGTGTTTTTCCGAAAAATTACGAATTAATTTTTGCGATTGAAATTCAAATTTGAAATATTATTTTCGCCAGTGTTTTTCCGAAAATTTACGAATTAATTTTTGCGATTAAAATTTAAATTTGAAATATCATTTTCGTGAGTGTTTTCCAAAAATTTACGAATTAATTTTTGCGATTGAAATTTAAATTTGAAATATTATTTTCGTGAGTGTTTTTCCGAAAATTTACGAATTAACTTTTGCGATTGAAATTTAAATTTGAAATATTATTTTCGCGAGTGTTTTCCAAAAATTTACGAATTAATTTTGGCGATTGAAATTTGAATTTGAAATATTATTTTCGTGAGTGTTTTTCCGAAAATTTACGAATTAATTTTTGCGATTGAAATTTAAATTTGAAATATTATTTTCGTGAGTGTTTTTCCGAAAATTTACGAATTAATTTTTGCCCTTAAAATTTAAATTTGAAATATTATTTTCGTGTCTTTCCGAAAATTTATGAATTAATTTTTGCGGTTAAAATTTAAATTTGAAATATTATTTCGTGAGTGTTTTTCCAAATATTGTGACCGTTTTCTAGATTCTATAATACTAATTCCTGAAAAAAGGATTAGGGCGAGTCAAGAAAAGGGACAAATAAGGGATAATTTGA